CAGAACCCCAAATTCGGGAGCTCTGCTTATTGACGTACCCGTTTAGTTGAAAATGTGCCTAATCACAGAAAACATTTTCTGCGAGAAATCCGCATCAATTTGGTGGTGCTCCAGCGCCCAATCAACGAATTCACGGCGCTGCGCATGGTCCGTTGGCTTGAGTTCTTGTGTCAGTTGAACCTTGTATGCATGCAAGCCCAGATCTTTTGTCAAAATTCGTTGCAGAGTGGGTCTGGTAAGGTTCAATTCTTGGCCATGATGCCGAATGGAAGTGCCTGGATGCTCGGCCACACTTTCCCGCACTGCGACTATATTTTTCGAGGAACCTACCAGGACGGCGACGGACAGTGTGCTTCACATTCAGCAACTTAAATTTTGTCTCAAATTTTGTAATTACAGGGCAGACTGTCAACTCATTTGGCGCATTATTGCGACCAAAAATTGTCCGTAATTTGCGAACTGTTTCCGCGTTATTTTCTCCATTATTGTAGTGAGTTTTCACAATAATTGAACGTTGCTCATTTGAATACTGTTACACGACGTCTAATCGCGTGATCTCGATATGACAGCTGTCATCAAGTAAACACCATACCATTTGTACAAAAAAATGGCGGCAAATTCAAATGTGGCGCTCTTGTTGAGACACCCTTAAAATTGTGTCATGAAATGTCTAACAAAAGAGGGCCATCAGCCGAAAACTATTTTTGAGAGAATGTTTGCCGTCTATGGGGATGATGCACAACATATTACACAATAAAGTTTTGATTTAAACAGTTTCGATGGAGGCTTGAATCCATAGAAGACGATTTCAGAAATGAAAGTCCCAAAACAGCAAAAAATGATAAAATAACTAATAAAAGTCCATGAAATTACAATACCATATGTGGGTATTAAAAATCTTTATGTCTTTGATTTATGTTCAAGTTTACATGCAGATAGAAATCTGAACTCATTGACCCAAGCGAACAGTAATGATGTGAGCAGGTTATGGACATGTTTATTAGTGGTAGCTCCATAGTATCCTAAAACTGCAGCGAGACCCTAATTCCACCGTCAGCTATTTCAAAAAATAGCACATCAGAACACCAATCAAAGAACCCCTTGACAATTTACAGAAGGCAACTCAGTACTCTATTAATCTCCGTTTAAAAACTTCCTAAACTGTCAAACCTTACACGCCATCGATCTTTACAATACGCCGGACCAATGACAGATCCATTCATAACCCCTGGCGCAAAGGTCTATGACGTTGATTAAAAACTTTATTCAAAAATCGTTTTTTAATGCCCGCCCTTTGTTCTGAAAATATGCCGGTCATCGGTATTTTTGTTCTCCCTCTCGCCTTGTGGGCTAGGACCTTTTAGCTGACTCATTGCTTTGGCATACCTAATTTCACCATTATTTCCAGATATGCACTATACAATAGAGCTGTAACACCGCCGCAGGAGTATAATGCCACCCTCTATTCCATATGTAATGTACTCACTGTAGCTCCCTTGAAGCAACGGCTCTGGTTTAAGAAGGACTACAGGGTCATACATGAGGAGCAAAAAACGGCGCTGAATGTAGAGTTCACGGAAAGAATGAAATCCGAAGTATTGACGGAGGAGATACATTTACTGGCACCATTAGTTTCAGCCAAGAAAGAGCCAAACCAGAATTACTGTGTCTCCCTCAGTTATTGGTTATAAACAAAGATAAATTAAATAATGCAAAGAAACGAAAGTAAATATTTATTAACGGTACATACAGCATAAAACAATTCTGCTTAATTCGTGATTTTGGTATTCTTTCCATCAAACAGCAACAATACGGAATACCTGACATTGTAGATAGTGAGACACCCTGCATGAATACTACTCGGTTTTTCCAAGTAGTTCTGGTGATCCGAGCAGATTCTTGGATCAAAGCAAATACCCATTTAAGCATAATACGAAAATTCCTCATTGTCACCACATTCATCAAATGAAAAGATTTGGAAGTACTTTAATTAGTTTGATATTCAGGTTTCTTGCATACTGAGCTTCAACCATAGAATCTCGTTGCATCAAACTGATTTAAAATTATTACTTTTCACGGGAAAGTACCTTTATCAAGAAATTTTAGATTCAAAATTAAAGTATATAGAGTTTAATTTTAGTTTAGTTTAATTAATGTTTCCGTTGGCCATTTTCAGCATCCATAAAAAAACTTGGTTTGTCTCCAATATTTTACATTTTTTAATGTTGTTGTTAGGTTTACTGTTTTGTAAACAGACCTTAGATTTGCTGTTATTTAGTTTAAACTGATTTTTGCAATCCACAGAAACCTTTACCATTTTCGGCAGCTGTCTGGAACACTAGGATTGTATGGAAAGAATATAGTAAATGTTTGTTAACAACACATGTGAGCAATTTCGGCTATTTTCTTAATTTTGGGAAGGTTGAAAATTGTATTCATCAAACAGCAGCAATGGCGGAATAGAATTCATTTGCATCAGGCGGATAGAAGAGAAAAATTGCCCCCAACTTCTTTTTAACATGTGAATCTAATAATCTAGGAATACTGCAGGTTTCTAGTATAGTTGTAATGTACAACATCCAAAAATCACCATCTAGATCCTACATTCACTAGTACCATCAGTTCTAATGATGTTACAATGAGTTATAATCCAACAAATTATTCCACAAATATTCCAATAATAGTCAGGTTGCAAACACAATAGAGCAAAGATTTAAATTTTTTCTGTATTTTTAGATTTGGATGTTGTCATTTAAGTATGTGGAATTTTTTGTTTTGGAAACAAGAGGGAAGTATAGCTATTGCGACTTCAGGTCCGAGAAACAAAATGACAGGGTAAAACGGGTTCTTAAGCCTCTATAGTAAAAATTCATTTTTATCGGGGTGGAAGAGAATAGTTAATAATCTACGGATGCTGCAATTTTCTAGCATATACTAAGTGACATATAAATCCGAACACCCAGTTTAAATGGTTTTATTTTAATAAAATTTTGTATAAGTACTTAATGAAGCATAATAAGTAAATGATAAAAATTTCAAAATGATTGCACTGCTTTAAAGCCCTTTGACCTTTAATAATGTGTGGATGCACCCTGATGTGCTACGCATTCTCCAACGCGCCTACGCATGCTTCTGATCAGGTGGTCAATGTCCTCCTGTGGTATCTCATTCCAGGCAACCACCAACTCCTCTCGAAGTGCTTCTAGAGTCTGAGGAGGACGTTGCAAATTGAGCAATCTCCTACCCATCATATCCCACACGTGCTCAATTGGGGATAAGTCGGGAGATCTTGGTGGCCATGGTAACAATGTGACATCATTATGTTGAAAGAAGTCTATTGTGACTCTTGCAACATGTGGTCGGGCATTATCTTGTTGGAAAGTTGGATCTGCCAGGGTGTCAAGATAGGGCAAAAGATGGGGTTCTAGAACTTCGTGGATATAACGCTGCGCGTTCATGTTACCTCTGATGAAGACTAAAGGTGACCTGGAACCATAAGCTATAGCACCCCAAACCATATCTCCAACAGTGTAATGAACATGTCTTTCAACAAAAAACTGTGGATTCCTCCTTTCACCACGTCGCCTTCTAACCCTGGCACGACCATCGTGCATGCCTAAACAAAATCGAGACTCGTCACTAAAGACAATACTGTTCCATTCCTGATCCCAGAGTGACCGTTGTCTGCACCACTCAAGGCGATTACGTCGGTGTTCTCGAGTTAAAGGGAGGACCCAGTGTGGCCGGTATGAAAACAAGCCAAAACTTCTCATTCGTCGGTAAACACTTCGCATGCCAATAGGTCTTCCGTGTTCTGCAAACCATTCATTTGCAATGGACCTGGTAGTGGAGAAACGATCCCTTAAGGCCAATAATCTTAGGCGGCGAACGGTCTGTTGTTCTACGGCTGCGTCCAGTGCCCCTGGCTCTTTGCGTACGGCGTTCTCGAAGCCATGCCTGACAACACCTAACCACAGTGTCTACACTTCTTTGCACTCTAACTGCAATTGCTCGAAAAGAAAGTCCAGCTTCCCGAAGTCCCACTATACGGCCCCTATCAAACTCACTAAGTTGACGAAATCGTACAGGTCTCCGTACTCTAGGCATCGTAACCGATCGTAAAGAATGTCAAGAACCAAAATCCACCAACGTTGATTCTTTACTGCGGCTGAAATATTCATTTTTAGAGCGTTAGTGAATTAAAAAAAGCAGTATAAAAACCATTTAAACTGGGTGTTCGGATTTATATGTCACTTAGTATAGTTAGAACAAAATCCAATTTTCGAATTTTAATGAACATTTGGCATAAGTAACTATTATGCTACGGAGTTTTGTATGTATTAGAAATTTAAAAACTTTGCCGATTTCCAGTCCTTCGGCACTTCGTGGGTGTGGATGAAAAAATGTAAAAGCTCACTTAGTATATTTGTTAAACCAAAGATTTCTGATATTTAAGTTACGAAATATTGGTTCAGATTAGGTGTGGGCAGTACTGGAATAACGGTGGTTCCATTTCTGTTCCTGACTCTAATTAGAGGAGTAAAAATTTCGATACTGAGATTTTTTTAAATATTGTATAACAAGTAGGAACATCATAAAAATAGAAGTCAGCAGTTTGAAGAAATTACAAACTTTGTTTTTCGATATTTCTCAACTTTCCTTTAATTTTTGAAGTTCAGGGAGTAAAAAATGTTAGTGGCTCAAAGGTTTTGACTAGTCTTATATGTCAGTTGCAGATACCATGAATGATGTTTTGACTAGAATATATATGTATATATATATATACAAACTTTTGCAGACATATTCTGAAATAACCCTGTATGACGAATAGTAGTTTCAAATAGAAACCGGCGCATTTGGGGGCGAGCGAACACATAACAGCCGTTATTATTGTGCGCGACTCCCATTATCGCTTTTTTATATTTTATGGGGCTGTCGGGACTATGAAATTTTCAAATGGATCGATTTAAAGCATCATGACCCCCATAAAAATAATCTTAATGCACTCTAAAAGTAAAAAGCCGGGTCAGATTTCACTTTTCAACGACCGTAACATGATAATTTATGTCATTGACATATCCAGATAAGAGATTTATTTTAATGAAATGCCATATAATAGCTGTATCTAATGTTACATGAGATTCATCTTGGGTAATAACAGCTTCTACAGGGCATAGAAAAAGTAGAATCAAGTAGGTGCTCGTATATTGACTTGATACATCTCAATACCTGGTAGTAAAAAGCGATTTCAGAATTAAGCGTATTCAAATAGGTATATACTATTCATTAGTTACTAGTCAATAACTGTTATTATTACAAGTATTCAAAAATCAAAAAAATGAATAGTTTAGTTAAGTTTCATTCAGAACTTAAACCCTAAAGAGCTTCGTCTAAACACATTGCTCACTTCAAAATCCGATTGATGAAAACCACCTTATTAAGATGATTTACCACTGCAAAATAATCATCAATTTGACGAGCATACAAAAAAATCAAACCCATTGTCTAAGTACTAGATTAGAAGAATATATATTTTTCAAATATTAAACACACGAAGCTGGCATTATCTATATATCAGCAATCTGGAAAATGAGAAATCTAGTGATCACAAAATATTCATGTAGATTAAGTCAGATTGAATCGCCCTTCTACACTGCGTTTTAACTATCCACACGGGTGCGTCAGTGTGTTCTGAAGTGGCAAGCATGACTAACATCGAACTTGGGTCGGCCATAACATTAAAATTAACTTATTTTTACTATAAAAACCAAAAATAAGTTGAAGAAAACGAACAGTACGGCAAACGTTGTGGTGGATGTCACAGATTCATAAAATCCAGATCAACTGAAAAGGTCAATTGTCTATTCTTAACAGGACTGGAATCTATTGACTAAGACCAAAATCAAGTTATTTCCTATTGAATTTAAAAAAATATTTAATTTATGGAATTAATTTATATTTGTTTATACTTCTAAACCACTAGAAATTAGAAGTACAGCTTCTTTCTTGATGCTTAGCTAACGAACTCAAATTGATTAATTCAATTGAACTACTAAGTTGGGCTATGCTCAATACTGTCCAAAGAAGGGCGTCCGATTGATCGATGACTCTTCTCTATCAGACAGTCACCAATGGGCTTTGCTCCTTAGAGCTCTCCTCCATGATACCACCGCGCGATGTGCCTGCCAGACAGACCCGCCTGGCTTCAGACTACAATCCTAACTGTGTCGAACTTCGTACATCCAGAACTGACCGATACGACCACTTCTTTGACTCGAGGGTGTCGAGCATGTGGAACTATCTATAAGAGGAAGCTTTTTCCAGTTCTAGTAACCTTATGCAGTTCAAAAATCGGAATAACAATTTTTTTTGGGATCCTCATAGCAGCTGCGGTGTCATGGCATTTAGGTTTCTGCCTGCGCGGCTGCTTTGGTGTACAATAAAAAAAAAATCCAAATTTGAGTTGTTTAAGCTTGTTTGACTGACTTGATTTGTCTAATTTTTGGAGAACATGTTCTTAGCTAACTTGTACCGAACATAATCTTTTAGGAGCTGATGACAGCGTTGCATGGGAAGTGCAGAGTCAACCTACGTAACGCCATTCTTTCATCAACATAACACAGGTCCAGATATTTACAGTTTTAAAAAGTTGGACTACCTGGATTTTCCATTCTTCGGAATTTTTTTTTTCGAACAATATATTTGCATTGTGTTGTCATATCCGCTGCGTAGAGTATTAAAGTATTTAACATCATACCTTTGTTCCAGTGCTCCGAGATGAGTTCCGTGTAACGCCGAGCGACACCCGAGTGGCCGCTGGCGAGACAGCCTTGCTCCAGTGCGGGGCCCCCAGGGGCCACCCCGAGCCCGCTCTCGGCTGGAAGAAGGACGGTGTCCCTCTGGACATCGACGGGAGGCGAATCAGGATCGTAGACGGGGGAAGTTTGGCCATCAGCGATGTCCGCAGGAGGGATGAAGGACGATACCAGTGTGTGGCTCACAATTTGGTCGGACACAGGGAAACGCCGCCTGCTAGACTGACTGTACATGGTAAGTGTTCCAGAACATATTAGCAATATTACCGGGATCATACAGAAAGAAAATCCAACAGATACATAAATAAGGGCTAGGTACCAAGAAGATGTCACTGAAAAGGGCTGTCTTCACTAATATTGGTGACGTATGATATTTCCACATGCCCAGCATCAGAACGACCTTGAAAAGATATTTCTCGTTCTATTTGACAAAGAAGGATTAACTTTAAAGCGTCAGTGCTAATTTTTCACGTATTTCACGATTGCGTCGTAAAAGTGATATTTTCAGCTGACAATAAATACTTATCAGTTGTGATGCACAAAAATTATTTCCTTGAATGCTGTGAGTAAAGAAATTATATTTTGGCCCAGTATCAAGGCTTATATAAACCGAAACCATTTTTTCTTCAAGAATGGTTCAGCTTATCGATATAAGACAACTTTTTTTAACTAATGAGCCAAAGTATGTAAACATTTCGAATCTACACCATTGTTATACAGAACTGAAAAAGCTTCACAGTTTATCTCTATCAAACTGAATGACCCAAGTGAATTTCCAGTGACAGATCAGAATCTCTAAAAGTATCGCTTATCTCATTTCTTAATAAATTCATAGGGCGTAAAAGAAACTGGAATCCATATACATGGACTAGTCGTTCCTGTATGCCTGGGCCCAGATGCATTTTTAGAGAAACTTTTTGTGTGTTCAACATTAAGTAGTACACCGAAAAGATCTGTTCTGTGTTACTTTATAAATGTTAAATATCATAGTAAAAAAGCTTACTTTCGAGATAATGTAGCTTGTGTTTGTAATTTCAACTTACTTCTGTTAGTTCCAAGGCCAAACTTATGATCTTTTATGTTCTCTTGACATACATAAAACCATAAATGTTGAAAAAGTGGCATACAACAATGAGACCTTTCGATGGTAATCCATGAAGTTAATAAAATCGCATATCCCTTTATTCTTAACACTATAAATTGCTTATAACTATGTTATATTATTATTACGTTTTTGCGTAATTCAATAAGCAAGTTATTTCATCCAACAAATAATAACAGAAAGTCAATTAACCAGCAATAATAATGTTAATGCCTTTCCCTCATGACCTACTTAAGCAAGTCATTAGGAGCACAAGAGTGATATTCAACAGATATCGGTTACAGCTTGTTAATATAGGTTAATTATGGGAATTAAAAAACTCTCAGCTGAACAATATGGATTAAACTATTAAATTACTATGAATATAAAAAGAGGAACACATGTGATTCCGTCAATATATGAGACAAATGCCACAGCCTTGAAGAAACATATGAGGATCTACGAATATATTAGGTAAAATTCTTAGCCATGTCCATTGTCATATTGGCAATAGAATAGAATCACAACAAACTTACAAAAAAACATTGTTTTACATGTAACATATGTAATGAAACATGGGAACATTCGTAGCCAATCTTATATGCCACTTGGGGCATTGGAACAATATTACAAGGATTACAAGTAGGTAACTTCGCAAAATGTCTAGAAGCACAGGAACCCCAGCCCTAGTACTAGCGGCTTTGGAGAATGATGGAAGCTTATTGTTTCACGATTAGTGTTTCCAAATCGCCAACAAATGTATTTCCGATACATCCAAAACAAAGTAAATGACGTTATATTCGTTTGGCTATTTGGAAAAAGTGATTTGGAGAACGAAACTAGGTACCATCGTTAAGGTTTTCATACATTCATTAGAAAAACTCTTAATTCACAAAATTATGACAAAGCACAAAAAGACGGTCATCAGTTTTTTTTGTTAAAATTTCATTGTTTATACGAATGTCGATGACTTATGTTATAACCCGTCATTCACCGATTTCTTCAGACTGATTGATCAATTCAACCATGATTATAAATAATTTATCTTCATAAGATAGTGACAAAATATATGATCTTTGAAAATGCAGCTTACCGTCTGCTAGTGTTAGCTACGGAACTTTACAGTTTAACTACAAATACTTCATACGTATTACATCTCAAACACATTTTTCCTGCCCGTTAAGCTGTAATATAATTTTTTTTGGTTTTTAGCGCATTCACTGATCAATAATATGTAAAGTGAATGTTTCCAGCCATATTTTCCCACCGAAAAGTCACGTACAAGTGAGAACTACTTCAAAACGAAAATAACAGGAATACGTTAGCAAGACCATGAGTAAGAACAAGGTCTTCTTTCATTCTATATAGATTTAAAATTAGTAGGTCGTCAGAGTCTGCATCGAGTTTATTTCTTTCCTGAAACCTACAAAACTCACGGTTTCTGACTAGGACGCACAAAAGACCTTCTTGTGCCTGCCCACCGAATCGTGCTAAGCTGGTCCGAAAATAAATGTTTCTTTTATTAACTGAAATTCAGTCTGTAATACATGGGCGCACTCAAAGGTGGCAGGAGAACCAGTAAAGGAGAGTTCCTGTAAAGAAGCACTGTTGAAAGACTTGAGAATAAAAATCTATACCATCATTTCGAACAAAATGTTACAGTATCTTATTTCTCATATTAAACGTACTTTCTAAGCGATTCAAATGTAATAATATATAGAATTTCGAAAATGCTCCCAAGATTTTCTAGTTACATTTTTGGCTAGTTAGCCTGATAAAAAACATTTGTCTTATTGTCATTGTGCCCATTTCTCAACTTCGTCGGACATGCTAGGTTCTTTTCATATGTATTGCTTCTGAACGTTGATTGATTAATGTATAGTAACTAACAGAAAGGTAATTCTGAATGAGCTGAAGGTACATATCTTGGTCACCACTAATAACATAAATTGAGGCAACTGTAAAAGGTGCCATATATTATCCGCCACATGTGACATCATTCAAAACAATAAAGAAAGTGAATGCAAAATGATTATTAAACATGTATGTAAACCTTAACATGAAATATAACGGCGGTGTAGATCATCTTTATATTACCTCACTTTGTCCTATGAAACGTCTGCTGCCACTATAAGTTACATTTCACGAATCAATTTTATCTGTATCATTGTCAGAAAAGCGATTATTCCAAGTTTTGTATACAGCAATGCCATATGAAAAACATAGTAAGAACAAACAAGTAAGCTGCAGCAAGAACTACAGAAGCAGATGAATCTAGGAATTAATGCAACTTCTGAAACTTATCATGTGGTTTTCATGTTCATAATGTTCAGATGACTCCATTGTCTGGCCGAATCAAACTATATACATATATGTGTTAATTTCCGTTTATTGTTAAACGTTGCCGCCACCACGGTGTACTTGTAAAATGCCACCGTGCTGGTACGTCGTACATTAAATGGAAATTGAAAAAATATATGTGGTTTGATTATTTATTAGAGATGGCTTATATCGTTATTTTTAAATACCTGTGACTTGAAGTGACTTGAAACCGTGACGTGATCACGACTTTCGAATAACGATAAGATTATGAGCATACAGATATCCTGAACAAAAAACCGCAATCAAATCGCATGGAGCCAACTACCAAAGCCTAGAAGGCACGATACGTTTGCAGGCAATAGTAGTTCTACGGTGGTATACGTTAACGCCGTGATCTCATGAGGCCATTCGCCGTTGATGTGATGCACCTAGTTCCCCAAGTCATGAACACGTCACGCTTTTTCACGGTATTTGGTAACAGTCGTTATTCGTGATTTAGACATATCAGTTACTAAATCAAACATTCTCAGATTTCCAATACTCAGTACGTGTTCCCATCAATCTCTTATTATCCTTGTCAGTTGATATTTTTGTTGATTTTCTTGTATAATTGGATGAAATCAGCTTGGTCTTGATGATTAGACATCCTCTTGAGACGGTGAGTTCCCCCTCTCATTATTGTCTGCTTAACATGCAGCTCGAGATAGCAGTTACAGCAATGAGCCGTATTCATAAAACAAAGGATATCCTTGTACTTGCAAATTTTGAAGGAAATCCTCCAAATGGTATTTATAATAATTTGAAGTAAATGCTTATGCTTTTTGACTATAAGCATATCCTTCAAAGCGGTGACATAAGTAAAAGGAAATTCATAATCTTCACCTTATACTTGGCATAGGAAGCATATGCTTCAAAAATTGAGTATGGTCAGTAGCAGACTCAACTTCGTAACGAAAGGTGGTCAAACGATTATGGCGGAAATTGTAGATGTTAGGGATGTTAAAACGTACAAACCTCGTTTACCTTCACTTGGTCGTGACTTCAAAAAATTATATCGGTTCGACGAAGCAAATGTACAAAGACTTGCGGACAGATTTTTAGTTGAGAATGAGGAAACTCGAGGAGGAGCACTTTCATGTATTCATAAAATGAAGATATGTCTAGGCTATCCCGGTGACCCTGGATTTCAACAAGGTACTGGTCAGGAACTTGGTGTTAGCCAAGCAACGGTATCTCGGACTGCGGATAGAGTTGTGAACAGCATACTCGTAGTTGCACAGTCGAACGAATGGATCAAGTTTCCAACTACCAACCATGAACTGATGGAGGCCAACCGGATATGGCAAAGCATGTATGAATTTCCGACAGCAATTGATGTAATTGATTGTACACATATAGGAATCCTGAAACCAAATCGCATGGCGATGAGTATATCAACCGAAAAGGGAAACCTACTTTAAGGCTGCTACACACAGTGCCGGGGGCAGGGCCGCCGGGCAAGCCGCCGGTTAAGCCTCCGTACACCCGGCGGCATACAAAGCCGCCGGCCTTGCCGCGCAAAGGAGCCGCCGGCATTGCCGCCGGGGTGTGCCGGCGGGTTACGCGGCTTGCCGGCGTCACTTCGTTCCTGGCATTCGAGCGGTAGTGTTGTGCGGTTTGTGTTTTTAAACAAATTAAAATGTCGTTTAATCGGGACGACGAAGCTGTGCTGTTTTTATTTGAAAATTTCATGAAAATGATATATTATGGAATTCCAGAAATGCAGACTATAAGAATAGGAACAAACGAATGGACGCATTGAACATAATTGCAAGTGTATTTGACATTGATAA